TGGATTGTATGTGAGGTTCCAACACTCGGTTGTACATGATTGTTGATGTGGATAGTAGATTAAACCTGTTTGTGATGGTTGTTTGTCTTCAGTCAACTTTCTCCTCTAGTTAAAGGGGAAGTATGTGTTTTTCAGGCGCCTGACACCATTTTATCACACAAACAAAGAACTATGTTACTTTTAATCTTTTTAAAAAGGCCATGTAACTTAAAAGGCATTTGATTTTCTTTATTTAATGCCTTGAAATTGGTCTTGTTAAAAACTCCTGCAATTTCTGAAACCCCTCCTTCAGGATGTCATCACAACATGGCTCCTCTATTTACCCTTTAAAAACGCTTTTACCAGCGTTGCACTGAGAAGTAGTTTCACCAGGCGTTTGATAATTGCTGCTAGTCCAAACGTGCTGAGAGGAGAAGTCGATGGGGATTTCTGCTTTTTGAAGCGAAACTCAAAAGATTATTTAATGTTTATTTCAGAAATCCTTTAATCTCCCATGGCAACCATTCAGAGGTGACTAAACATTTGCTCTCACCGATCGCTGCCTTTTCGACAAAGCTCCACCTTGGAGCTGCGGTCTCCAACCGAGTTTCTTCTCGAACACACTTTTCCCACTCAGCTCCTACAGACTAGCAACAGCAGATATCAGCAAACGCCTGATGGAAATGCTGACCGCGTCATGAGCTACGTCTGTCCAACATTTGCAAAAATTTTTATAAATACAGAGAAATGTTCTGATGACTTTCTGAAGGTGGAGTGTGGGAAAGAGTAGGAGCTTCTTAAAGAGACAGAAGTCCAATTTCAAGTAGTTAAGTTGCAAAGTTAAAATTTTATCTAATTCATGGTTGAGATGTACAGTATTCTTATAACAACTGAAAGTAACTTGTGCTATGAAATGGCTCTATGTGCATGGAAAATGCATAATACTTCTCCTTTAAACATGAGAGATTCTCAATTGGATTGTGATGTGGACTTTGACTAGGTCTGCTGTCATCCTGATAGAAGTTGAGCCTCCATCCCAGTCTCAAGTGTTGTTTTTTTCCCCAGGATGAATCTGCCACCACCAGGTTTCTCTTCCAAAAGTGGACTAATAGTTGTTGGGTAAACATATTCTCTGACTTGAGCTCTGGATTTCTGCAGGATTTGATAAGTTTGCAGTTCAATAGATAAAAGAGAAAGGCTGGGAACTAGTTTTCAAGCCCAACTCTTCTTTAAACCTTTCCAAAAGTTTCTCTCTTACCTGTGTGCTGCGTTCCTTCATGTTCACGATGCTGTTTGTTCACTGATGTTCTCCAACAAACCACTGCAGGTTTCACAGAACAGCTGCATTTCTTCTATCGAGTCATTTCTGCAGGCTGTTGGTTGCTCTGCATTTTATTAAAAATGACGAAACATGAAAACAGTTATGATGCTTTTTCTGAGCAATGTGTTTATTTTTCTCCAAATCCAGCACAGACTGGTCATTTTTCCCCCCACCAAAGACACACACTTGGATCCATTTCATTAATTCATCTGGTATAAAATATTAAACAAGTTATTGATTTTTCCTCTCTGCTTCTTGCTCCTCTTTAGTAAAGGAAGAGAAATTTGAGTCATAAATGTTGAATGATTTTAAAAAAGCCCCTTTTTATCTAGAGGTGTATTTTATTTTTTAAGCCCCTGATTATTTTCCTGAGATGCCACTAGAGCCGTGACAGCATTTTCACTTTGGCTTTGACACTGGGTAAGATAAAGCAGTGGGAACACCGAGGTCCAAATATGTTGCTTTTATAGGGAGGAGCTGTCCCATTCATCATGTGCTGTAACACCCAGAGCTCTAGGGAAGCCCTGTCCATAAGTCAGCTCAGGGCAGGTAGCGTCTGCTCTGCCAGATAATAAAGTGAAGATGGAACCTTTGACTGAAATAAATTGAAAAACAGGTAAAAAATAATCAGTCGAAATGGGAAAATGTTAGTATTTACTACTATTTGTTAACTCTAACTGTAGTTTTGTATTTGAAATTGTTTCCATGATTGGTTTTCATTGTTCTTCTGCAGAGGTCAAACTGGTCAGTTTCACACCTGGGCTTTCACTACACAGCTGTGTTGTGGTAACAGATGGACACTTTGGTTTAAATAGCTTTACAAACATGCAAGGCATCCTCTGATGAAGACATCTAAATGATGTGATGCGTTTGCTGCTGAAGCCACACGGCTTTTTAAATGTGGAAGAATTAGGAACCCATTATGACTGTGTGATTTTTGACTATACAGGATGCAGCTGGATTTTGGAAAATTTTATTGATCAAACCAGAGGTCAGATTTGAGCATCATTTCTGTCTCCAGCTCAGAGAAAACTGCAGATGGTTTTCATTTTCTTAGCACTTGTAACCGGGATCTTGGCTGCTATTGTGTAAAAACTCTTTGGTTTTAAATGACAAGTGTTTTGTTTAGTTTTCTTTTTTTTAACACAAAATATAACAAAAATTAACATCATTCAAATAATGTTTAAACACAAACGTAGATCTCAAGCTGCAGAAATAACCCAAAATACCTGTAGCATGCAACAGAAACTCTATTTTCACAATAGGAATATAAATTCAGTCCATTTACTGACCTACAATTATTTATCTACCAGTGCAAAGAAGCAAAATACAAACAAGAATAATTTAAAAGGACATCTTTTGTTTGAATTAGTGCTCATTAGTTGGTGTTAATTACTAATTTAGTGTCACGATTGTTCAACCAGATGAAATTGGATCCGTTAGATTCGAGCGCTTCTGTAAACACCGTTTCCTGTCACTTGGATGAAACAGGAAAGACATCGACTTTTACAAGCAAATCTGATCTAAAATTTTTCTCAGGATCTTTTAATAATTATTACATTTAATTTTTCTTTATTGAGGAATAATTGTGGTTATATGTTTTTTAAGCAACCACAAAAAAAAAATCTCTTTACAATCTGGATAAAAAAAGAAGACAGAGACACAATTTTAGTTTTCAGAAATCAGTTTTAATAACAAAGTGGTTATTAATTTGTACCATTCTCCATGGAAGGACAGCCTTCATAACCATTTTGTTTTTTCCCGTGTTCTAAGCATACAAATAACCTCGAAATGTTAAAAATATAAATGCTTCTTAAGACAATAAAACATACTCGGTGACAAATAAAAGGAAGGTAGGCAGGGATATGGCAGCTTACGCATCATGGTCAAACAGGGTTAGTCAACAAAAATAAGCTTTGCTTGTTGATTCAGCCGCAGCTGAACTTCATCAAATCACCAGCAAAGTCTATCAAAGTAGGAAGAAGTGGATAGAAGTGGATATGTGGCAGCTGGTAACTGTTTACCAGAAGACATGCTTAGCAAATAGTTCACTCTGTTAGCAGCAATGTTGCCTTTGCAAATCTTGGAACAAATCTTCCCTTTGTCTGCACAGAATTAGGAGCCTTAAAGTTAACCTTTGCACTTCATACCCCTGCCTCCTCACTTGTATGAGAACCATCAGCACTCAGTGGCTTGTAAAACTGTTTATTCCCCTTGAAATTATTCACAATTCATCACATTAGAACCACAAACTTTGTTGCATTTTATCACGATTTTATGAGATAGGCCAACATAAGATACTAGTACGTATTTATGAACGTTGATAAATGGATTTAAACCGAAGTTTCAACTCTTTTTGTAGCTTCTCATGTATTTTCCTTTGAAGAAAAGCATTCCCACAGCATGATGCTGCCACCTACTTGGTGCATTATATATCTGAAGCCAACGTTTTGCAATAAATTGTATTTTAGAGTGTTTCCCTAAATACAACATTATTACAGATTCTTTCTTCTACACCAATCACTGCTTCCAAAAGTAGGGCATCCTTAAAAAGTCTTAAACTCAAGGTCTTAAAATGTTGTAAATAAATAAATAATAATAATAATAAACACGTTTGCTTTAAATATGTTAATTACATGTCTATCGTAGCAGGACTATTTAATCGTATATTATGTTTTTTCAAGCTGCACTTTTTTCTGTCAGGCTAAAGTTTGAGTCATAAACATCATTGCGTTTTGAGACTCAAGGTAATTGAAGCAATGCTAACTAGCTCTGCTAATTAGCAAGCTGGTTATCAAAGTTATTTACTCATTTAACATCTTTTGAATGTTTGTTGTGATTTAATTCACAATTAGTCTTTAAAAAGGTCAACATTTTAGATGGTGTAACCCTTCTGGTATTTACAGTTTTATCTCTATTTAGCCAGTTGTACATATTTCTTTTGTTTGTCTTTGGATCATATTATTTTTGATACTAGCCAATGTTATGTGTAAATTTTGTCCTCACTGTATCACAGTGTATTTCTTTATTTGTTTTTAAAGTAACAATTCCAAAGAAATGCTCTGAAGTTTGTGGTTTTAAATGTGAAACATCTCTGGTGTCATAAACACCCAAAGATTATCATCATCAGCTGAGGTTTGTTAGTAACAAGCACAAAGATGAAGGTATGATTCTCTGTTTTTCACACGACTATAATGGATCAGTTCAGGCTCGTCAACCTGAAAGGCTCCAGCTATTACTTTCTATTAAAACACTATGGGATGAAGAGACAACAATCACAGCTACGATGAGGGATGTTTTTGTGTAGGACTCTCTTAATTTTACGTTTAGCATAGTTTTTTTTGTCCTGCATGATGCCAATTTTTCTCAGTTTTCGGTTTGTGACGCTGTCTTTCGTTGCAGGAAACTATTACAATAACTATTAATTACTCTACTTATTTAAAAATGTTTTTTTAGATGATAAATACATAACTTAAAATCACAACAAATCTACCTTTAAAAATGGTCATCAATATTGACCAAAATAAGACTTTTTAAGATGTCTGTACAGCTTAAAGGCTAATTGAAAAGAACTTTCAGGGTTAAATACGTTTTTGAGCCAAACTTTATAATCAAAATGCAAAAATTTGCACATTTTTGCAGATAAACATCCAATATCATGGCAGATCTGTGTTGCTGGAGGACTAATCTAAAAAAAAAAAAAAAAAAAAGGTCTTATTTGAAGCTTAAAATTGTCCAGGTGTGGTGTTGCGAGGAACAAAGGGTGAGAAGCGATTACAGAGAGGAAATCACTTCTTTTGACAGCGCATCTCTATCACTGCTGTGTACAACACGTCCTCAAAACTGCCGCCACCGCAGAGTCCCTTATCCAGAAAACTCATTCTCAACGCTTTTGCTCTGTGACGGCTCCAACCTGATATTCAGCTCAGAGTTATTGTCTTCTTAAATATGCAGACTTCGCGGAGCGTTGTGGGCGCACCTCGAGCCGAGATGATGTGTAAAATTGCATTTTTTAGATGCGCGCGGGCAGAGGGAGGGGAGGCTCCGTGAAACAGACGCATCACAAGCAGCACTGGCAGATTGTTTAAATGAAAAACCTCCATCTATTCAGCCCAGGAGTCGAGACCACTGCCTCCCATTTTCCCTGGGTTCCTGTTCGAATTACTGAGGTTGCATGAGGTGCGCAGACACACGAAGCCCAAAGCAAACTTATGCTGTTGCTGAAGTAACTTCTGTCATGGTAAAAGGGTCACTTATGTCATTAGTGCTCAGGAACTGGAAGGCATTTGGAGACTCGCTCACTAAGACAAGCATCATCCTGCCTGCTGTGGCCCTCCGTCTGTAATTCTGGTCATGCCCTGTCTCCGTGTGGATTTAATGGTTGTTTTTAGTAGCATCTGCTTACAGTCTAGTGAAGTGAGGGGGACAGAGCCGCCCTTAGCATGAATATATGAATAAATAGTTTACATTGAAATATGAAACTGGGTCCTTACTAAGAAAGGAACCCACTGTCTTTTATAAGAGGAAAGCTCAAATGGTGTCGCCGATCCTGCAGCAGTATTCGTGCACTGATTGATTTCTGGAAACCTGCCGATTCTTATTTCTGTTTGAGAGAAATAAGAATTAAGACAGAAACTGTCTTAATATTAAACTATTTCTGAGAAACATCCCTAGTGCTTCAAAATAAAAACATAAAGAAAGGGAAATTCTCCAGAGTGTGGCCATTATTTTATCAGAAATAAATACACTGTTAGAAGAGTTAAATCGCTGCAATAAACGATTAATGAAGACGTTTTATACTATACTTAAGGAATTAGAAAAAAAAAAATACAGTCAGGTTATATTATGTGTTTTGAAAATACAAATTACCCAGAATATTACTGTAATTTCAACTGGCCTGTGATGTATTTGGTGAAAACAAAAGAAGGTGATGTGGACCACAGAGGCAGCATTTACTCAGGGTTGAGTTTGGTCACGACATCGTTGGTCTTACATGATACAAAATTAAAAAAATAAATGCAAAAAGTCAAATGTAAAATGATATGATTAGAGATTAACAATGAAGGCTCCCACAAACTTGGGTGTACTTCCTGTCGCACATCGAACGGTTTTAAATGTGACGGTGAGCTGATAAGGTTGCCAACTTGGGGACAAAATGGAGTCAGAATTTGAAGATATAAGAAATAAGAAATATAGTATGTTACATTAATGAGGAAATATAAAGACCTTCACTAAACAAAAACACTTGAGAAATTAAGGAAATTGTTACACATGACGCTCGTCGACCGTACAGCCGAGTCTGTGGGAGCCTTAACCGTTCTGTCGCGATCATTTGGCGTGGATGATGGGTGATGATGGTGGTAGGAGTTCGCCCCACAATCTGTATTCGATCTCTGGCAACTCTCAGCTTGTGGGCAGATGTGGCAACTATCCAGTAGCGTGCCGCCATCAATGTGTGTGAATGGATGAATGACTGAGCGTAGTGTGAAGTGATTTGAGCCTCTAGACTTGATGAAGTGCTATACAAGTGCAATCCATTTATTATTTGAAATGTAACACAAAAAAAAAAAAAAAAAATGTTTTTTTTTTTTTTTTAAGTTTCTTCGATGTAACTTCATCTTAAAACATCTCAGAGTTACTGAAACTGGCTGATTTCAGTAACAACTTCCAGTGTGAAGAGTGTTGTTCTCGTGCGCTCATAAGATTAGAAGTGGATTTTACAGGATTATAGTTTCTTATCTAAGGGAGCAGTCAGTTTTCACACAGCTCAATTTTCAAACCTTAACTTCCCCCCCCATTACTCCAGCTGTTTTTTTAGCCTTATTGAAAAAGTGCCATAAACATGTAATACCTTTTAAACACTGAGGTGTGCTTTGTTGAAACCCTGTGTGACCTAACGAGAGGTCTGAGTGTTCTTGTTTGTCCCTGACAGAGACCTGGATGCATTTAAAAATGTCAGCCTCTAATGGTAACAGCAAAACTAACCTCGGGACTCAAATCGGCACCTGAAGGGTAAAAGTGAGATTACACAACACAAAATTAAATCAACTAAAATGTCTTGCAGTTTGAATGTCAGTGAGTCACGTGCTCTGTGTTGGTGCAGACAGCCGCCAGCTCCTGTGGCTTTGTTGGAGTGCGAAGACGCGATTATGTCTGAAGAAAGGACGTTAAATGCGATAGTATTACACTGTCCTCTCTTCCTTTAAGACTTGTAGTTTCCATTTAAAGGACAGCTGTCCATGTTCCTCCACAAGCATGCAGTTTTCAGAAGTCCATCTTGGATATATGTCTCTGTGCAGCATACTGTTATGTTTCTCCTGTCAAAACTGAGTTAATTGAAGCATTTGGATTAAAATATAGGTTAAACCTGAAAATTAACAGCTTTTAAAATGTTTCAGTTCCAAAATCTTTAAGCAATAAAAAAAAGCATACAATAAATATGTAGCGTGTCCAATAAAGACTATAAATGTTATTCCATTCTTTAGGCAGTTTTCCATACTTGGTGCTGGGTAAGCCACAGGGAGGGAGGTGGTCTATCCCTCCTGATGTCTTCCTCGTCTCCTCCTCCTCCTCCTCATCGCAGGCCTCTTTGGCACTTATCTAGGGTCTTGTAGTAGACGCGGGTAATCATCGAGCTTGGTGATTTGGGTTGTGGCGTGAGCGAGACCTTTCGAGGGCTGCACGGCGGTTGTCTGTTCAAGAAGAGATGGGGGGGAAAACAAACAGGTGAGACTGGAAAAGAAGAAGGAAGGGCTACATTGATTCATGATTGGCAGAGGAGCTGAACTACATAAAAAAAAAAAACTGCACAGAGAAGCTAAAAGAGGGGAGTGGAGAAACAAGGCTGATTGAGAGCTAAGCAGCAGGGGATGACAGAGAAACAAGGAGCTGCAGGAGCAGAGCTGCTTGTGTCTGGTACCATAGTAACTCCCTTCATCTCCTGATCCTGGCTTCTTCTTAAGAGACCCTCAACTGTCCTCACATCAGATGTGACATATGCACAGCAAATAAAGGGTTGTGGCGTGAGCGAGAAGACAAAGAAGGCAAACATACGAGCAGGGATGGAGAGGATTACACATCCAGGGTGTTTTTCTGTTAGCATCAGCTTGTATGGGGCATTAGAGAAACTTTAGCACCTCAGCTCACTTTCAAAACAATTCTTTCTCCAACTGTGAGCATTTCAACAATTGGTTTACAAATGAACTCCACATTTTATCACATTAAAACCACTGACATTTTTTGGTGAGTCTTACATATGAAAGATCAATATGAGGCTGTGTGTAACTAAAGTGGATGGAAACAAAGTTCTTGCAAGTCTTTTGGAGTAAATATCTACCTGCTTTTCACATCTAGAGACTAAAGTTTCTGCCTTTTCTTCTATGAAGATAGGAGAGAAAATGAATATGCTTAAATCTAATCAAAGGATCTGCAACTCCAGTTGTCCATTGCCGTGTTTCCAATGTTTTTCTTTTATGCACATTTTAAAGTATCGCTTTAGAAAACTTTGATGAAAATGGTTAAAATTCAAAACAACTTCCTCAATTTTCCCAAAAAAGTTTTTATGCTCAGTTGAGGTGGTTCAAGGCTTTTGCAAAAAGATAAAAAAGAAGAGATGGAAACATATTTGCCAAACAAGTTCTGATGCTGCAAACTTTCCCAGCCACTAGTGGTTCTGTGCCTCACTGGAGGCAGGAAACTGAGAAATTTGTAAATCCAAACCTCCAGCTCAGAGGTAAGTACTCTCAATACTTTTTGCAACATTTGGTCCATGCTAGTTTGCAACTTCTAAGTCTTATTAATCACAGCAAATAAAGGGTTTGCTATGTGAAGCCTGTTTGATTTGCACCAAACCAGTTGATGGAAACACATGTAATTTGTATTTTCCTTCTTTTTAAATTCACATAATAAAAACACATCCATTTCTTCTGGATTCATCCGTGCTCCCACACGCTTGAATCAATAGACTGAATTTTCTCCTTAGCATCTTAGCAACTTTTGCAAAGTTCATTTAATTCAAGCGTGTTGGAGCAGGGAGACCTCCAAACGTTGCAGGGTAACAGCACTGGAGGACTGGAGCTGCAGACCCTGACCTAAACCTTTTCCGACCATGAACGTCAAACAGGATTTCTAAAGGGGTTTGATGGTATTTTATGTAGGTCAAAAAATACAATCCATTTGTCTCATCTGAGAGGACAGATTCAAGATTTCTATTTCTAAACATTAAAGCCTTTGTTTTGATCTAAAACACAAAATCCTGATTTGAAATCTGTGGTTGTGTGGAAAATGTGTAAAAGTTAAAGGGTAATAGTTTTGCAGGCACTATAAGCAGCGGCAAACATTTCCCTTGGGGTGAGAAATAGGCGACAGTTGAACTCTGGGGATTTTCTGTTGCCAGGTTCATGACAAAGTCATACAAATATTTCTTCCTCTGCTATCCAACCGTGGCTGCCCAGAAATGCCCAGGACATCCTTCGGGCAGCCAGGTGGCAGGTGGGGCTGGACGGAACCAAGAAGCCGAGCCACAAAGACGACCGCAGGCACACCCACGCAGGACTCCTGGTATTTCCAAGCATGCTACTGCCAACGCGCCCATTACTCAATGCTCTGCTGTGAGGTGCCAGGCGTCCGAGGCTGGGCGTTGGTTAATGGCAGTCATTCCATCCATCATGTCAGGTAATGAGCTGAGAGCGAAAGCGATGGCTGGGAGACATACACAAACAAGATCCCGCATTCACAGCGGCGAACAGAAAGCAGGTTGGATACAAAGCATCATGCAGATGGTGCACAGGAGGAGAGAGGAGGAGGGAGAGAGCAGAAGGAGGAACAGGAAGACAGTTCAAGATGTAAGGAAAAGAATGTTTTCTCTCTGCTTTTTCCAGCCAAACGCACGTTTACGCGCTGTATGCTAGCGTGAGAGCTAACGTGTTTTGGCAGTGTGTCCAAACACATCACAACTACTTATTCATGCACTCATTTCGTTCTGTCCACAGGTTACGCTTCACTCTGTGAGCACGACTCACGAAACCTTCCTCCTTTCAAAACAAGCTTTCACAGCACACAAAAAAAAGAATTGAGGGGGAAAAAATGGGATAGTTTCAAAAAATAAATAAATAAAAGTAGATCATCCACAATTTATTCCTGCCAATCATTTACGAGTCCAGCTGCTGTAGCCTCATTTCTGGGCGAATAGTCGCCTTTGACCTCTCAGAGGAGCTCGGAAAACAGAGCCTCGGTCTTGGAGGCATTCATCTTGAACTACATTTAATCCAGTAAACAGGATGATGGGAGGGCAGAAAGACCAACTGGGACTTTACAGAGCAGGACAAGTAAATAAAGACAAACTGGATCAATCTGAAATTAAAAGTACTAAAATGGGAATTTAGTACTTCATTTTATACCTTTGAAGGTTTATAAATTGCTCAAACAAGTTTTTGCACAATCTGGCTTTTATCTGGGTCAATAATGTGCCATGTCTGAAATCGAGTTGGCCTCAATGAGGATAAGAACAATAATTCATGGAAACAGGGTGACAAAGAACTCTGGCATCTTAGCATTTTAGACTTTTTCTTTTGTTTTTGCTTGTCCCACAAACTGAGATGATGGTCCACATTCTGGTCTTTACAAAAATATTTGGCATCATTTTTGTAAAGAATGTTAGATGGGAGTACTAAAATATTGGAGTATAAAACTGGGTTTTTAAAGAGACCTTAAATTAATTATGCTGGGAGGAAAGGGCCATAATTCCAGCAAACTATGGTTTTAGGCTGGAAGCCCAAAACGATTTACCCAGCTCAGACAGTTTAAGAATAATCTCTTTTTTTTTTCCTTGATAAAAATACATCTGACATTGAACAGAAAAAGTCATTGAATGTCTGATAAAGACTCAAAAATTGGTATTTGTCTTTGTCTCCACAGTTTATCATTTTTAAATAAATGTTTATTACATTTAAAACTTCACCTTGCTGTGGTGAATTTGGCTGCTAGTGTAAAAGAAACTCTTCCAAAAATTACATTAAGTTAAATGTGATTTCAGATTTTTATGGTCACTGTTTATCTCCACAATTATCTAAAAAAAAAAGGAGGCAAAGCATCTGCATATGGCAACAAACTGACCCACAACTTTCCATGTAACAAATAATTTATGTCTGGGCTTGGTTATTTTAGAAAGCGGCCATTTTGCATGCTGTGTAAGCTGAAAGCCATTGACCATTAGAGTGACCACTTGCTGAAACCCTTCAGAAGCACTCCCTTACTGTAAGCAGTGGTTGCCAAGTGCCCTTTTGGGGTTTTGAAGTCTCTTGCCTAACTGCCTAAATATACTGGAAAGCTTTTGTCAAAGACTTTGTTAAAAGGGAGAAAAACCTTCAGCAAAATGCATCTCCATCACAGGATTCTTGAATAGCGAGCTATCTCCAGGTGCATACAAGCCCATCTTTTCTCACCCCACATCAATCTATCACAACAACTGAACAAACAGCAACCATTTCTACTGGGAGCGAAACATTACTGCTAGCCTCTACTGAATTGAAAGCTTCAAGCACAGACACACATATAAATACGCACGAACTGGTGTAGAGGGAAACAAAGTGAGGCAGGGGAAAAGGAGGACAGATCCACACAAAAGAAAAAAAAAACTACTCTCTTTTTTTGTGCACTGATTGCAACTCTCTCTACTCGCGTTGGTTTTGATGGCTTCTTTACCTGCGTCTCCCAGAGGCGACATCTTTTCGAGTTACAGCAGAAGCGACACAGAGGAGCACGAGAACAGGAGAAGAAATTGACAAAAGAGGATCAGGTATTCTGTGTTACGGCAGGGGGATGTTGGCATCCCAGCACTTAATTAAGTGCTGGCTTGGCACCGTGTCACAAAATGTAGCTAAACGCACCGTGAAAATCAGCAGGGGTGGGTGGAAGGAGGGCAGAGTCACTGACACGCAGACATGCACAAATGCATACTATCTCTTTCATTGTCACACACTTGAGGAAATGAATTGTTCCTTAAATTAACTTCAGTGTGAAATCTCTGTGCATTGCTTTGAGGAATTCACACATGTACGCCTCTGCTTCTAAAAGAGAAGAATCTCTGCATGTACATCGTGACGACCCAGACCACTCAGGAGAAAAATAAAAGACCTTGAAGTCAACCTTTTCCTCAAAATTGCCTAGAGTAAGTCTCTGTCTTGTGCTATGATAGATGTGATGAGATTCCTTAACAGATTATGTGTCTTTATGTCCTTTGTGTTCCTGCCATCTTTTGCTAATTGCACTGAATTACATCATGATGGTGTTCAGCGATGTGTAAAAGGAGGAAATCCAGCCACTCATCTATCAAACGCGTTCAGCTTGAGGTGCTGGAAGGAATTACCTCTCCTTGGTCAGAGCAAACAGGAAGACTTCAGAGGGATTACACCGGGATAGTTAAATACTGCATGCGCAGCAGGCTCTGGGCAAACATCTAAATACGGCTCACTTATTGATCAAGGTCAAATAATCAAAAGGCTGAAGCAGCTTCAGACGGGAGAGGCTGTTTCCGCCGTCTTTTGTGTTAAACAAGTGAGCAGTGACTTCTCTCACAGCATCGCTGTCTTTGTGAGATTTCTCAGAGTGGCTTCATGCCTCACTTTGTGACAAGTTGAAACATAATAAAGGTGATTAAATCTCAGCATGTAGTGTTTGCTCCCTGGCTAAGAAG